TGAGGCCAACAGTGTTATAAAACATTGTCCACTGTGTTTGCTTTTGTGTCCAGAGATTTTTTTTTACTTGCTGATGTCAAATTTACTTGATATTTAATGTTTTAAGTAAATGAGTAAGTCAAAACCACACCAAATAATTACTGTGTTCTTTTTAGCAAAAGAAGTTCAGTCAACCATCTTAAATATGCAAATTGTATTTTATTATAGACAAGCTCTTAGATATGTAAGGTTAGGAAGACAAGTCATAGATTCCCAGAGAGTTTGGGCTTTTATGTGATTTGTGGTTTCTCTTCCTGGTTCAGCCTCACTTCAAAAGCCAGAACTATTTCCATTTTGCTTCTTAGTAACAGTAAACACAATGTCATGTTGACAATCCAAACTGTGAATTTTCTGGCTATTGACTGCTTATGTTCTCCTGTTGTCCTGACTGCTATCTGCAGGGTTATCCTTGAAATATTTGTGCTTTAAATACTACTGAATTTCCTCAAAACTTTGCCCTCTTCACGTATCCATGTGTTTATTACTGTCTGAATTTCATTTCTTGTTGCCTTCCAGTAACAAATATTACCATAAACTCACGTACAGATTAATTATGTTTTTTTTTCTCCTCTAGCCCTACTAGCCTTCCAAAGATGCCTTAGCTAGCATGAGTAATATTGGTACAAGCCTTCTGAAAAGTATTTGGTAGTATGTATAAAGATCACAAAAAATACTTTGACTTTTTGACCCAATCATTCTGTTTCTGTCTGAGACACTATAAAAATAGAAAATGTACATTATGTTCATCTCAACCAAATTTATAGGGGAAAATCTCAATCTTCTGTGCTAGGGGAATAGAAAATAAATGAAGCAAAACATATTAACTTGAATATTACATAGATATTTAATAATTAATAGTTACAAGTATTTTGATAAAATGTTAAATATTTTCAGATTACATATGCATGATCTCTATTAATGGCATTTTCATGCACTCATGTAAATCAAAAATCTAGGCATCTTCCTTGACTTGTCTATCCCTGACCCCCAAAGTTACTCTATCACAATGGACACCTCAGGATAAGTTTTACCCACTAAGTCATTCTGAACACTTTCTACTTTCCTCCATCTTCACCACCATCATCCTAGACCAAGTAAACGTTCCACTTTTGTAGACTCTACAAGTTATCCTGACTGGTCTCCCATGCCCCAGTGGAATCTACTCTCTACTTCTGGTTAGGATCCATTAAAAATGCCATTCTGAGGTGTCACACCTCTAATGCTTTCTGACTGCTTCAGGACGAACACTAAACCACTTCGCCTGACCTCTGATGCTGTGTAGTTGAGCGGCTGTCTCTTTCCTCTTCCCTGTGGTTAGTATTCTTCACCATTGCCACACTCGAGATATGCAACTGTTGCTCTACAGCTCATACTCTTTGCCCCAGGAAGCTCTCTCCAAGGTCACCCTGTTTACTACCTTTTGCCTAAGTCTCTTTTTTGGGGGGAGGTGGGGGTACCAGGGTTCAAACTTGGGCCCTTGCACTTGCGAGGCAGGTGACCAAACCACTGAGCCAAATCCCCAGCCCTTTTTGCCTAATTCTTCATCTGTCATCTTTCCATTCATTCCTGTCATCTTGAGAAATCTTTACTGCTGCCTCAGACCAGGTCCGTCGGATTCTTACAAGCTTTCATAGCACCTGTTTGCCTTTTTGCTTATTGCTTGTGCTACACACATCCATACTCCCACCCAAACAGAGCTTAAATTCCAGGAGGACTGGGACTTAACTTGCTCATTACTTTTTACCCAGAATTCAAATGTGTATTAAATGAATAAATGACATTTAGCACTACAGTAAGTCCCTGACTTATGAATGAGTTCCATTCCAGGAAAACACTTGTAAGTCAGATTCATTCATAAGTCCACCAAAGTGAGTCTTGTACAGCTTTGACACAAATATCAATGAAAAGCAAAAAAGAAGCAAGCACAAAAATACAGTAAGCCCCTGGCCGTACTGTATTACTGTACACAATGACACTGTACAGTAAGCACACGGCAGCACAACTGTGACCGTGTCTGTCAGATGTGAACTACTGCCACAATTTGTTCCCATCTACAGATGTTCCTAATGTGAGGTCCATTTCTATCTGAAAGCTCGAAACTTGATTATTCATAAGTCAAGGACTTACTGTATTGGTTACCTAACATCTGTATTGTTATTGGATTAATGTTGCCTTCTCCCATTAGACTAGAGCCATATCTTCTTGACTCACTGTTGTTTCCCAGCATCTGAACCATAGGAGGCCTTCCACAAATGTATACTGAATAAATTTTATCATAACTACATAAAAAAGGCACAGGAAAATTTATAATGAAAATACAGTGGTGGGTGTTTTAGGGTTGTAAAAGTCAGACCTCTTCCTCTATAAACAGTATTAACAGTAAAAAATCACAATATAAATAATTCACAATTAAACAAAAAGAAATGGTTCTGTGTATCATACCTCTAGGATAAACATAACAAAAAAGCTAAATTTAAAAATGATTGTTTTACTCTAAAAGATCACATTTTCCTTATTCTCTGGTGTTGCCATGTGGTTACGTCATTTTACATAGCTATAATCATAGATAAAATGCTGAATTTTGCTCTTCCTGTTTCACATTATATCATGCATATTTTCCCCAGGATTTTACATATGATGTGCACAGTTATAGTTAGCAACTATGTGATGTTCTTTTAAATTTGTGTACTTGGAGAATATTCATTTCTATAAGATATATTTCCTAGAATAGAATTCAAAGTGTATAAGCATTCACAGGAAAATACATATTTCTGACTTTACTGGCCACGAGATGACAAAGAGAGAGGTAATGATGGATATGTGTGCAAGCATAGAATGAGTGATTGATGTAGAGTTAGTGAGCTGTGATTATTTTTAATAGAGAGTCTGTGTTACATCAAGCCTGTAAGGAAAAAACTTACGTTTATATTGAATGTTCCCAAGTCAGGGAGCTTGACTGTCTTCTGAAATAAGATGGATACCTTGAAAAGCAGTGGTGTGGGGGACACTGACTTCCTGGGGAATTAACAATTAGGGAGGTTTCCCAGGGAGTAGAGGTCATGCACAAATGCGGGACATTAGTAAGTGAGGTGATACTGGTTCTATCTTATTAGCAGCTCTATACGAGGCATAATTTATGAACTTATGTAAATCAGAAATCTGAGTCAAAACAGTGGATGCTAAACTTTTTCTACTTTTCTTATGTTTACCACCCTCATCCTGGAACAAGCAAATTCCTCTCTCCTAGACCTTACAAATAATCCTGACAGGTCTCCAGTCCATCCCTCAAGACACCCTGTTATTTGTGAGAATTTCTCCTACTCAGGAGAAGCATTATGGACACAGGACTCTGAGACCCCTTCATCTGGTCAGTTAGAAGCAGATACTAGGGGTCTCTTTATTCTGTTAGTAAAGGATATAAAATAGACAGAAGTGGCCATGTGTCAGAGGACGGCCATGGTAAAGGAGGAGGCACCAATGGAGATTCTGTAGGCTGAACATACTGATTGCTGCCTAATGCTTTCTTAAATACATGTCTGGGCAGGATGACCTCTGGCTTCCTTCTTGAATATTTTCATGAAAATAGCAGTATCGTGGCCTGAGGCAAGAAGATGAGTCACAGTCATCTCAGTCATTCATTGCCTTTAACCCTAGAATGGCTACATTACAGACAGTGCTTACCATCTTCCTTGCAATACAGAAAGCCTAACACTTGTGCTTTACAGCAGACCCTAGATAAAGGATTATAGCTGCTAAGAAAGCCATCAGAAGCTTAATACCAGCTTACACCAGTGCTGTAAGAAAGCAACCACTGTATAAGCTACCCCCCAGCCTAGCCTCAGTATCATGTTCTTTAAACATCCCTTTCCGCTCTCTTGCCTCCATCCAGGGACATGTCCTTCTGCATGATGTACCTCTCCTTTCTAAACAGTTCTGGATTTCTCTTGAACTTGAGCAAAAGTATCTACTTTGAAAAAAATAATAAATCACAACTGGTTGATTTAATTGAGGACTTAAAGCAGTGTTTCATTTGAGAGGACTAAATAGGAACAGGTAAAAGAGAAGGAGAGAAAAAGGCATGGCAGGATTTCAGGCCTGGTATTCTGAAAGTGTCAAAATACAGAAAGCCTTTCCTGTGAATCTCGAATTTCACTGACCCCTCCAATGTGAACCTTAACTCTGCAATTATTAGTGTACTTTTGTGTCTTTCTGTTTAAAGAACTCCATTATCTAAAGACCATTACATGCAACAATTCTTTTCTGCGTGTTAGCTTTTATCTTTGACCACTGGGTAGATAAATAAAAATCCTACCGCCTATATTCACTGTTTAATTCTGTCTGCACGGGTCCTCAATAAATAGTTAATTGATGAACAGTGCCCACTCCATAAACATTTAATGGATTAATGAATGAGTAATCCAAAGTAGAATATTCTAGTTTCTACATGTCATTAGAACATCTATCATTTAGTTGCATGGGTCAGGTTTGGCACATCACCCAAGCTGGTTTGTTGTCATTGACTTGATAGTTATTTTAACTGCTGGCAAAAAGTTTTAGGTTGTTATTGTATACAGAATCCACCTAACATATATACACAGTGGTCAAAAGGAAATTCTGACTGAAGCCAGTTTTTTTTCTAGACATGTAGTTTATGTTGCTCTTAAGTAAAGTTTAGCCCCTCACATGAGCTTGTACTAGATAGGAATGCATTTAAAGAATGCATTGAAGGGCCAGGGATTTAGCTCAGTGGTTCCTCTGCCTGTCTTGCAAGCACAAGGACACAAGTTTGATCCCTGGTACCAAAAAAAAAAAAAAAAAAAAAAAAA